GACATATATATATATATATATATATATATATATATATATATAATCTCAAAATGCCAGAATCTATTTCCTTTGTGCTACTGATAAACCCACACCAAAATGAGATAGGATAAAATACCTTGGCATCACACTATCCCACAACTTATCATGGCCCATACACTTTTCAGAAACAGGTTGTGAAATTAAAAAGGCTATCATATTTTGCACTCCCATTAAGAATGCAAGTATTCATCGAACGTGTGCGACATGTTTCTCAACTTAGAAATATATATTTCAGTTCTGTTATTTTAAAACTAGTGTCCCAGCAACCGTCGTTAAAATCGAGAAACCATACGTTTAGATGGTGTTCGACTAATAGAACCAAAAACATAATTGGATACAATGTATTTGTCCGTAGCAGTTGTGCTCCGATCTAGGTGCCCCTCCTCGTGGAGCGTTCGGTTCCCCGATAGGCTTTGGATCTGGGGGACTCCTATCAGCGGCATGTATGTGTCTCACTGCTGTTGGAGGCGTGCGCATCCCCGGGCTTCTGGGGCTGGGGGTGCTTAAGATAGAGGCGTATGTCGGTGGTTTGATTTCAAGGCCTCTTCTCAGTGACTTTCCTTGTTCTGTGGAAAAAACTCACCTGCTGGCAAGATCTCTAAAACAGTTCTAAATGCACTGCTAATACTGGCGACACATGTGTGAACTGCATCACTGATGGAAATTTACATGCAAATGTAAATTTTATTCCCAAAACACTCTCAAGCATTCATCCTTTACTAAACAATGAAATTTAAAAAGCTGTATCAAAATCATTCACAAGCTGCGAACTGATCCACAGCACTGGTTCTGCATACCATTTTCTCCTGTCTTCTGCTCCTCCTGCGCCATTTCCGACCAAAACCCGAAACTGTCCCACAATCCAACAAGATTTAGATAAATACATTTTCACTTCTTTTTTTCTAAGCAAAGCTTGTGTTTACTACTTTGTTCACCAATCAGTTGTCACCTTCGAATGGCAACATTATGAGTGCTCTAATCGTGAATTTCAGCTGACATGGGTGAAGCTTGCACTTTCCTCTTTCACCATCCATTTCGTGTTGTCTGTTGGTTCCCTGAACAGTGACGACTCTTCGATTTCTTTATCTTCTAACACATAACCTGTTTATTATAGACGTAAAATACCATGTTACGATTTCGGCAGATTTCAACGTCCGTAATTAGGAATCGTCGATACACATTTCTAATATTCCAAATTTGAGACGTGAAGTTGAACGCTCCGCTATGATCAACCCAAACATACTGATCCTCGATCTTGCTGCGCACAGAGCCCATTGTCTTGTTCTTGTTCACAATTCGGTTGCTTTACTCTTGTCTGACATCTCCACTCGTCATACTCTGGGCTGTGTCCGTTTTTATTGCTTTTTTGTTCCATCAAAGTTACCCGCCCTGATTCTCCCTATCTGCCTCGAGAAACGCATTCTAACGCAACAACCGGGACGATTTTCGCTCGTTCCTAGCTTCGTATCTTCTGGGCAATTGCTGTTCCATTCCAGAAGTTTCCATATTAGTTTCAGAGTTCACTGAGGTACGCACACTTTTCCGAACCCAGCAAACCACGCATGTGATCGTATTAACCATACTGCAGACCGTGCGTTTCATTGTTTCAAATAGAGACGCGCGAATAAATAGAAAATGTGAAAGTTACTACTAGTATCTACAGGCACATACACAAACATCGTGAGCATGAGTGGAAGGAAGGAAAAAGTGAAACACCATAAAAAGCCCACCTTGCTAAGCAGTTCCCAGGCCTGAGGGAGATCAGCTTTGGTCATTTGACGAAAACCTTTGACCAAAGGCGCATCCGGGAGCCGGTAAAGTTTAATTGTGCGTTGAAGTGTCATATTGTGGGACAGATGAGAGAAACTACATTCCAAAAGTTTTCGGGGATTCAGAGGGCGATGCCAGTACCTGAACGATCGAAGAGACGGGGGGGGGGTGAATCAATTAGAACAAATAGAAAGTCTTTGTGGAAATAAGAAACCCAAAGTAGAGCGCACAGCATAATGAACTATACTATAGAGCAATCAGTGCAGAATGCAGTTTAGAGCGAATTCACCTCATCCCTAACGGAGTGGAAGGTGACACAAAGAGAGCTAGGTTGAACGAAAAATGGGTCTTCCCGTCAAGTAAAGCCTTATGTTTAGGTATGGCAGATCTTTGTCACTCTTCCACAAGAGGTAACTCTATACTGGACAGAGTAATTACCAACCACCCAACCCTTTTTTCTTTAGCACTAAAAGCTCCTATTCCTTCCAGTGACCATTGCTTACTCCTAGTTCGACCTAAAGCTTATTCACAGTGCATACAAATCTTTCTCCCGGTCCGGGCACGTCAGATTTCGTTTTCGTAACTTCTCACCTACACGTGTTTCTCTCCTGAATGAATCTCTCAGACAGGCCTACCTATGGTTTTCATCATCTTCTTCTCTCATCCAAACACTCAATGCCATTTTTAATTATTGCTTTCCTGTTCAAAGTCTCTGTGTCCAACGGAAGAATAAACGCTCCCCTACTAAAGTCGCTGCGACGACAAAAGGAATATGCGTATAAGTCTCACAATGCTTCAGCTATCAGGTATTTGTCCAGGCATATCAAAGCTGAAGTAAATAGATTGAACGCATTATTGTCCGATCAAATTCTGCGGACAGGAAACGGTGAACTTTTGTGGCAAGGTATCAGACTTCTATGTGGAAGAAAGAACGTATGGTTGAAGCTGGATGTGGATACTGATGATCTCAATGCCGCATTCCTGCACCAGTCATCGGACATTCTTCCTGCCTACTCGTCACAAAATGTTTGTAACGTGAAACCTCTCAAATTTTGATGTTAAAACTTTTAAAAAGTTGCAAATCGTCTCCTGCTGCAGGCCCGGATGACTTACATCT